TAGTTTGCTTCCCATTAGTGTTTAAATGCAAACTGACTCTTATAATAATTTAATTAACACAGAATGAGACAGTAAACATGTATTAAGCATGTGATAAGTACAAGATTTGGGGGATTTATTCACTTTGTCATATTATCTGTTTCTGTATTTCAACATTAGGAAAGATATAAAAACTGAGATATTCTATATTAATTTATCAATGAAAATGGCATTTTTTTGGTATTCAAATACTTTTGAGTAGATTCACAAATTTTCCACTTTTCTAGACCATAACTGGACAAAATTCAAAGCAAAATTTTGGCAGTGTTTACTAAGTGCATATATGCACATACATTTGTGTATAATAAATATATATAATGAATATATATATTTGAGACATATATATCTCAAATGAATACAGTGTGTGTGAGCATTTTGGCAGTGTTTACTAAGTGCATATATGCACATACATTTGTGTATAATAAATATATATAACGAATATATATATTTGAGACATATATATCTCAAATGAATACAGTGTGTGTGAGCATATGCGTGTATGTGCATGCACACATGTAGACAAGTTGAGGGAACACGAGAACTTAAAAGAGTAATACAATAATGCTTATTTTTTCCTGACGTGAAAGCTTTTTGTTTTGTGTCAATATTTTTCCTCTAATTTCCTTTACAAACAAGAAGAGAGAAAAAAAAGAGAAGTGTTCTGTTTGAATTTAGGGTGAGAAAAAAATCAAACATCATTTTTCTCATAACTTTTGCAAAGGTTACTTTTAGTGAGGAGCTCTTCCTTCAATAGAATTGCCCGGGACGGAATTCCATCCTGCCATTGTTGCTGCAAACCCATTGGGGGAACTGGATGTTGTGAGAGTTCCCAACTCCTTCATTTTCCATCTTACACTTTCATTTATGACCTGCAATAGTATGTTTTGGCAAAAACTGATTTGTATTCCAATCTAGGTGGAATTTATTATGTTTGTTTTAATGATTGTAATAAAATTGAGCTTTGTTTCTAGTAAACAAGCAGTGCTTTGATCATATTAATTCTGATTCTGATCTTAAGTGGAGATAGTTTAAGCTCATTTTGGAGAAATCAGTTTATGGTCAAATTAGCTAATTTTAACAAATATTAACTGAGCACTAACTACATTCATTAGTGCTGAGTGTTGTTAAGATGAAAGGAAACATTACAAGTTTTCTGACCTTGATGGCTTATATTTTATGTTGAGAAATAAGATTAAATCTTTGTAGGAAAGAAAGGTCTCAAGATGAATTTGCCCTCGGGTGCGTCTGAGCAGATGGAATTTGAAAACCACTGCTACCAGCAACGAAAGTAAATGAAAAAAGTTGAACAGATAATCAATTAAAAGTCTCAAGATGAATTTGCCCTCGGGTGCGTCTGAGCAGATGGAATTTGAAAACCACTGCTACGAGCAACGAAAGTAAATGAAAATAGTTGAACAGATAATCAATTAAAAAAAAAAACTGGAGCAATGAGTAGATTGCAGCAAATTTTACTATTAAAACAGGAAGAAACCCTCCGTTCAGAAGACACTATACTCTCTTATAGGTGTGATCTCAAGTTAGAAGAAATTTAGTTTTATAAAGGCATTTCTGGTGGGAGGCCTGAATTACTTTTAAATGGGGTCATTGATTTTTGTGAAATTAAGTCGTCAAATTTATACCACGTAAAAATTAAGAACAACTGCTTTTTAGTAATTTCAAAACCAGTTGTGAAATTGAATGATTATATTTCAACAAAAAGGAATATTGATAAATATCAAGATACTATGAAATATTTTAAGACTGGGATTTGGATAGAGTGTTAACCCAATAGCCTTTAAGTCTTCCCATTTTTCTTAGGTATTACCAATATAATAAAATTAGTTTCGTAGAGAAATCTTGGCCTGGGAAATTAAGACAGATTTGAACTTCTTTCTCAGTCTCTAGTCATTTCAAAGATTCCCATTGACGAGCTAAGGAAGAGCACTTCTAACACTGGCTGGAGGAGAGGTGAAGAAAAATTAAAAATAATTATAAAAGCTGTCATTAGGAAAAGTGTAATTGTGGACAAAATGATGAGAAAATAACATATTAATGATTAGAATGTAATTGGTAGCTATTAATAGTTTATTGAGCATGGGATTCTAAACCATGTTATTTCTTAAAACCTAAGACTATTGAAGTGGTTGAAAAACAAATGCCTTTAGATTAAAAAAACAATTTTTATATTTAAAACTTACTATTGATTCTGCAATAAAATGCCACATGGCAGGAATATTATTAGCCAAACAAACATATATTTGACTGAAAAAAATTAATTTTGACCAAATTGGCATTCCAAGGTCAGTGTGCATGCACTGCATATTCAGTTTTCAATTAAAATTTTGGCCACACCAAAAATTTAGCCAACAGGGTGCCATCTAATCTACAGAGTGATTTATTTGTTTCTTCATAGGCTACTTGGGTCCAGATAGTAATTTGAATATTATTTATCTCTGATTTGAAAACATGTTGGGTTGCTGTTAATTTGTCATTTCCTAACTCACCCACTTCCTGGTTATTACAAACAAAGCCAAGAAATTTCCACTTATGTAGGAATGGTGATACTTTGGGTTTTGGAATCAGACTTTGAAAATTCAGATTCTGACGGTACCATTTTGTGCCTGGAGATGTTACTTAATCTCTGGGTTTCAGTCCCCTGTTCTGTGAAAATAGAGATTACTGTCTACAATTTCCTTCCAAATTTCACATGAAGATGAAATGGGATGTGTATGGCACAAATGAACTAGCTTGACGCCTGCCCCATGTTGAATGTTTAGTAATTATTAGCGTTGCTATTCGTCCATTCTCATTAGGTATTTATCTGTTAGGTGCTGGGCTGGGAAGGAAGAATATGAAGAGGAGGGTGACACATTCTCTATCCTTAAGGAATGTTCGGTGTGGTTGATGAGAAATGAGACAGACAAGGAAGTAGGCAGTGATGATACAGTATAGTTAGGATGCTGAAGGATAAACAAAAAGAGTGAACATAGCACTTAACGATATCTAACTCTGACTTGAGGAGAGTTATTTGCACATTGGTTTAATCATTCAGTCATTCAACAAGTATTTATTTAGTGTTTGCTATATGCTAGTTACTCTTAGAACCTGGGAATACTGTGACGTGAAAAAAAAATAGTATTGTGTATTATATGAGGACAGTTATCATCTGTGGGAGAAGATAATATTCTGATAATCACTAAAGTAAAATATAAAATTACAAGTGCTGCACTTGTTAGTAAGTAAACCAGTGCTTCTCAACTGGGGGCAAGTTTATCCCCTGCCCCCAGCAGATGATTGGCAATGGCTGGAGATATTTTGAGTTGTCATAACGGGGAAAGTGCTACTGGCATCTAATGGGTAGAGGCCAGGGATGCTGCTCAGCATCCTACAATGCACAGAATAGGCCCCCACAACAAAAAAATTGTCTAGGCCAAATGCTGATAGTGCCAAAGTTGAAAAATCCTGATATAATCCCACTATCTCTTGTAGAATATAAGCCCATGATGGCAGGATACCTCTCTTTTTTTAATAATATATCCTCACTGCCTAGAAATGTGCCTGTCACGTAATAGGTACTTAGTAAGCATCAGCAGGGTGAACGAATGGGGTGTGAATGATTACTAGAGGAAGGGAATAGCATGTTTAAAGATTAGGCTTAGAGGAAGTCGGTGTATTAAGTTGCTGAGAGAAGGCTAGTGAGTCTGGAATCAGAGCATGCAAGAGGGTGGTTTCATTGAGAAAACTAATGTTAATGAGTAAAATCTAAATATTTCTTCCCGAAATTTCATACAACTTCTTATTCTCATTGGAAAATGTTACGCATGTGTATGTAAATTCTTTTTTTCCATCAAAGAAGTCTAAAATTTATTCAGCCTGTCCTTGTTATCTTTTGCTGATTTCTGTTCTCCCATTTTTCAGAATTGTAGACTAGATCAAGAGAACCAAGGAAAATCAATTAATGGCTTAGACAAGTTTGTATGTAATAACAGATGATTCTGTGTGGAATTGGATTCCTTAAAACAGGAGTTCTTGAGGGAGTATTTATGGGGTGGGTGGGGTGCCAGAGCAGAAACAGGATGAACATTTTGAAAAGCTGCACAACCCTCTATTCTCATTGCTTATATGCAACCAAGAAGTGGGACATGACTTTCTCAGGTAATGTGCCCCGACTTCCCAGGTTAGGGCATGTTTTCCTGTTCCAAGTGCTCACAGCTCCCTGTCTATCATTTCTCAATGATGCTGACATCGTAAATACCTTCTGTCCTCCTTTACCAACTGGGGAAGGATTAAACAGAGTGTGGACTAAAAATGGTAAAAATAATAATGATAGCGATTACATTTGTGAAAAATCTTAAAATGTATTGTGGATCAGCAAAACACCAATATATTAGAAGGTCTCTCTTTCTCTTTTTTAAAAAAAATAGTATTTATACTATAAGCAATTCATCCCATCTGTGATTACTGGAAATCAGCTTCCCTTTACCAGGAAGGAAAACATTTCCTGTGCACACATGCACACACACACACACACACACAAACATTTTGCCAATGGCTTCTCCCAAGAGCTCAGCAGTGGCCAGCCACATTGGAAGGCATCGCAAAGAGAGAATGTAAGTGAGGAAGGGAAATGTAGGTTGTATGTAGCTCTGTGGTCATCTCCACCCACCTCAGGTTTTATTATATTATTTGAAAAAGGAAGAGTGTGGCTTAGAGACAGATATAATTCATAAACTGTTTAAGTCTTCTGGCCATTTTAAATCAAATAATGCATGTGATATTCACTATTTTTATTATCGAATTTGTATTACTATATATTTTTGTATAGTTTTTACAATTATAATATGTTTCTAAATGGCTGATGTAATATTAGCAAAATCCAATTATTTTAAGTCGAACTGTGAAAATTGTATGTCTCGTTTTGCTTTATTTGAGTGTGCTACCCCTTTCATCTTGTGGTTCAGGTGGAAAACTGGAAGGTCACAAACTGAAATTTTGGAAAGAGTAGGTGAAACCCAGCAGAGGTTCTCCTAGGATCTCTTTTCAGTTTCCTACTGGAAAAGTGGAAAACCCCTATCAATCTACTGCCCATCTTGTAGCTCTTCTGGTCCAGGTGAGGAAAAGTGTCATCATTCTAATGGTTGAAGGGACTTCAGAGTAATCCTGTCTGCATCATGACATTTTATTGAAGTAGACTAAGTTTAGAATGGGGATGAGATTTTCTGGGTTGAGCAATACTCTCTTCCATGTAAGACAGTGATTCTTACCTACATATGCTCATCAGAGTTGCCTGGGAACTCTGCAAAATGCATACGCCCTGGACCCATTCCTGGATCCTCTGCTTCAGTAGGTCTGAAATGGGACGTTGGCATGTGTATTTGGAAAAAACTCTGAGGTGATCTTGATGTACTTTCTAGATCAAAAACAACCAACCAGGGTTTTCTTCTCACCTTTATGCTATGAGGGCCCCTACTTTTTGGAAGATTCACTATTGGACAAATTGTTCAGACATTGTTCTTTAGGACACTGACCTGCTGCCCTATGAGTTTTCGATGTAGAGTAACTTAGCTTGACCTGACGGTCTTCCCACGTTTTTACCTATGATTCACATTTATTAAAAGAAGAAAAATCAAGGCCCTAAATTTCTTGCCCATATTTAAGTAATATTTCAAGGAGAATTTCTTCTAGTGTAAAATATCTTCAATTCCTAATTCAAAATACTTTAGAAGATTCTTTTTTAAGTGATATAAATTAATATGCCTTATATGCTTCTATGAGAAATAATAATTTAAATAATTATTTTCCAAAAGCAATGATAATGAAATAAATAACAGTAGTTATAAATACATAAATAATAAAGAAATGCATAATAATTATAGTATAAAGCATCTTATTTAGAGTCTAATCCACTGGACTGTAGGCACCATGAAGCTCATGAATATTTTAAGGAAAATGTGATTCATCCGCCTGTATGTTTAAAATGGCATAGAAATGACCTATTTTCAAATTAATATTTTATTTGTACTTTATACATACAAGGAAGAAATCATAGTCTTTCTTTTATTTATTTAACAAACATAAGAAAATTTTTTTCTTTTTTGTTTGTATATATACCATGAGATATATATATATATTTTTATATATATTGCTACTATATATAAAATTGCTACTATATATATATATATAGCTACTATATGTAAAATTGCTACTATATATATATAATTTAATTATATATTATAATATATAATTATTATATAATTATATAATATAGAGATATATATACTGAAACTACTCCCTTACCTTATAATCACCTAAAAAGCTCTCTTAATTGCTAAACCCAGGGGGCATATGCAGTCCTTACTTTATCTGACTTCTCTGATGCATTAGACTTGGTTGACCATCCTGTTTGAAATTCTCTTGGTCTCTGTCAATCTTCCCTCTCTTTTCCTTCTAATCGTTCATCATTTCTCCTCTCTGTCTCCTTCAGGGGCTGCTTTCTCTTATGGATACTTCATTACTTATCATTCTTGGATTCCTTCTCCCTTCACTCTAAATACTGTTTCCAAGTGAGCAAATTGATTCCCATGATTTCAGCTCTCACTAGTATGCTGATAGTTCCCCCAATTTTTGTCTCCAACAAAAGGACTTCTTACCTGATCCACATATCTACCACCTTCTAGGAGCTCTACCAGCATATCTTAAATCTCAAAGCCATATCACTGAGTTTGCTTCTTCAAATTTGTTATTATTCTTATACCTTCTATCCTAGGTGATGGCATCAGAATGAACCAGTTTCCCAAACTGAAATTTAGTGACTTCTTCAACCTTATCTCCTATATCTGACTCTTTCCAATATAGCTTCCTAAATATTTCTTGAAACTTGCCTTCCTCTTCCTGTGTATCCCCACTGCCCTGGGTTACAACTCTCATCATCTCTCTTCTGAGCTACTATAAAGCCCTCTTAATTTTTTTCACCATTGCAAGATTTGCTTTAGCAATCTACATTGAAGAAAAATCTTAACATAGTACCCCGCACATACACTGAAAGCACATCAACCATGGATAACAGGAATAGCAAACATAGCATCAGTGTCCTGACTACCCATATTTGCATTTATGGAAAATATTGGGATTCAATGAAAATATTCTATTTTATTAAGTCCTATAATTCTTTTTGAGAATGATTCTGAGGAATATAAAATATATACATAAAATATAAACCATATATAGCTTTCATGTATAATGTATAATAATTCATATAGAAAGAAAACAATTTAAATATTTAGGAACAGTTTCAAAGAATTGTTTTCTCTATAGTTGTTAATTCAGTTATTAGTTTAAAAAATATATAATTTTCTTCAGAAAATGTACTTAGTGTTTCTATACTTTACACGGAAGTCTAAAACTCAAATTCCCACAGCAACCTCGCAACATAAATCAATTATTTGGACTAGGGGTGGACTGTATCAATGATATCTTATATATCATACATGAAAGCTATATGTATTTTATATCAAAACAGAACCCCAAACCACACACTTACACCATATATGGCTATTTATTTCATTTATTTGTTCTGGTTCATGTTTGAAAATGCATATTGACTTGATTTTTTGTGCAACGTAAGTAGCATTAATTCATCCCAGAGACATGCTTTGCTTTTATGTGATTGAGAGTATCTAATAAAAGTGTTTTAAGACATTTTTATACTATAATTCATACTACATTTCTGGCCTTCTTAGTCATAAACTGAAGACATAATTTTGCAGATGTGAAAGTAAGTATAAGATCTCAATGTTTCCTGGAGAAATTTGCTATTAAAATCCATTCTCATATATCAATATACTTTTAGAGACCTCAGTTCCAGAAAATTTTTTCTAAGTTTTCTTGAACTTTCACTTGTCTGTTTTTTTGTAGAATGACAGAAATGATTTTATACTACTGTAGGGATTTCCATACTGTCTAAGTCTCAAGTCTTGACCAAGGAGTGTACATGTATGGGTGTGTGTGTATGTTGTGTGTGTTTAAACACATTGTTTGGAAAGAATATGAGAAAAGAGAAGCCAGAGGGAAAAGGACTCAGTTTCAAAATACAAATGCTGTGTAATCTCATCCAGGATATAAGCTTTTGAGCAGGAACTTAAGTGAGCAGGATCTCATATTTTTTTGTGGAATGTTTTTGAGAATCTTGAGACAGCAGTTTATAAAATTTCTTCTTGATTCATTAAAACATCAGTATATAACACAAAGTAATCTTCTCTTTAGTGCTTGAATATAATTTGGTGACTCCTAGACTTGTATTGTGTTGAAATAAACCTGATAGTCTTTACGTATGAAACAGTATGTGCACTGGCCAACTCATAGAGATGAATGCAAGGCTCTGCAGAAGAATAATAAAAAATTATGGAGAGATAATAACTGTGTGGCAAATAGAAACAGAACCCTGTTATTCTTGTTTCAGGCAAACCAGTTTCATTTGTAGGAAACGGAGAAGAAAAATCTGGCTGATTCCTGACTTTAGTAAGTCTGCCTCTTCATGTGTGGGAGTACAGATAGGAATCCTTTCTTATGAATTATGTTGCAGCTCAATTCATTCATTCACTAGTGTTTCCAGAGCACTTATTTACCAGCAATGATAAACGAACACAGAACTGACCTTAGCTGAGCTTACAGGCTAGTGGCAGAGAGAGACAGATTATTCAGTATTCACACAGACAAAAGTGAAATCTTCGCTGTAAAAATTGTTAAGAAGGAGTACACAGGAAACAATCAATGTAGTGGGGAAGGCCTGAGGAAGTAACACTTCAGTTGAAATTTGGAGGGTGGATAGAAGTTAACCAGGCAAAAAGCAAAGGAAGAGAACTATGCAGTATCTTTGTTATGGGTCCACACTTTCTTATGCAAGGTAAAAACTACATGTAGCAAGGATGCATGATGTCTTGAGATTGTAGTTGGTATTTGGCGTGGGGTGGAGGGAAAAAGGGTGGCACTTTGGCTGTAATGAGATATTTACTCAGCATGCAGCTTACATTCTGGAAAAGCAGACGGATAATAAACATTTTTGCAAATTAATATATGTTAGGTAGAAATAAATGCTATAAAAACTAATAAAGCAGAATAAGAAGAGGGGAAGCTTAGGGAGTGATACCATTTTCGACTGAGTGGTAAGGAAAATCCTCTCTGAGAAGACACCTGAATGAAGCAAAACAGTGTGCTATGTTCTTTTTTTTTTTTCTAATAAAGCAGAATAAGAAGAGGGGAAGCTTAGGGAGTGATACCATTTTCGACTGAGTGGTGAGGAAAATCCTCTCTGAGAAGACACCTGAATGAAGCAAAACAGTGTGCTATGTTCTTTTTTTTGTTGTTGTTAAAGAACCAGAGAAAAAGATAACTGAAGAAAGCGTGGCAAAATGGTAATGCCTATTAAATCTGGGTTTGATATTTGGAGCTTGTTTTATTATTTTTGACTCTTCTGTACCTTCGTATTTTGAAGTATTTAAAAAATAATTTTATAAAGCATTGGTTTGCAATAAGTGGGAGGTGGGTTGGGGTCTACAAGGTCCTGGAAGAATCCAGATTAGCATTGAGAAATAGGAGTTTCATTGAAAATGAACCTGGAGAAGTGGGTAGTTGTGAAGCCAGCAGGTCCCATAGATTTTGTTAAGAAATTTGACCTTTGTTGTAAGAACAATGGGAAGACATTGAAGGATTTTATGCAGGGGTATGAGTGATATAATTGAATTTGCATTTTGAAGCATTTCCATTTATTCAAGAAATTTTAAGCTAGCACCTGGCATTTTGCCCAGCTTTGTGCCACGTGTGGGGAGGTATAGTTGTGATAAAAACCAGAGAGGTCTTTACACTCAGAGAATGTGAAATGCAGAGGTGGGTAAAATCATTGCTGTCATCTATAGATGAACTTACTAGCCAGATATTTTGATATTTCTTTATTAGTTGTTCTGCACCTTCAACAAATTGCATATTATCATGTTTGACAAAGGTTGGGCAATCACCTTGATTCTGATAGTTTTGAG